GTACCGGTACAGAGTCAATGGGAAATAACAGTAGGGAGGCTATATACAGGGGGTACCGGTACAGAGTCAATGTGCGAGGGCATCGGTTAGTCGAGGTAATTGAGGTAATATGTACATGTGGGTAGCGTTAAAGTGACTATGCATAGATAATAAACAGAGTAGCAGCAGCGTAAAAAGAGGGGGTGGGGTGGGGGTGGGGGAACAATGCAAATAGTCCGGATAGCCATGATTAGCTGTTCAGGAGTCTTATGGCTTGGGGGTAGAAGCTGTTTAGAAGCCTTTTGGACCTAGACTTGGCGCTCTGGTACCGCTTGCCATGCGGTAGCAGAGAGAACAGTCTATGACTAGGGTGGCTGGAGTCTTTGACAATTTTTAGGGCCTTCCTCTGACACCGCCTGGTATAGAGGTCCTGGATGGTAGGAAGCTTGGCCCCAGTGATGTACTGGGCCGTACACACTACCCTCTGTAGTGCCTTGCGGTCGGAGGCCGAGCAGTTGCCATACCAGGCGGTGATGTAACCAGTCAGGATGCTCTCGATGGTGCAGCTGTAGAACCTTTTGAGGATCTGAGGACCCATGCCAAACCTTTTCAGTCTCCTGAGGCTTTGTCGTGCCCTCTTCACGACTGTCTTGGTGTGTTTGGACCATGATAGTTTGTTGGTGATGTGGACTCCAAGGATCTTAAAGCTCTCAACTTGTTCCACTACAGCCCCGTCGATGAGAATAGGGGTGTGCTCAGTCCTCTTTTTTTTCCTGTAGTCCACAATCATCTCCTTTGTCTTGATCACGGTGAGGCGAGAGGTTGTTATCCTGGCACCACACTGCCAGGTCTCTGACCTCCTCCCTGTAGGCCGTCTCATCGTTGTCAGTGATCAGGCCTACCACTGTTGTGTTGTCGGCAAACTTATTGATGGTGTTGGAGTCGTGCCTGGCCATGCAGTCATGGGTGAACAGGGAGTACAGGAGGGGACTAAGCACGCACCCCTGAGGGGCCCCGTGTTGAGGATCAGCGTGGCAGATGTGTTGTTACCTACCCTTACCACCTGGGGGCGGCCAGTCAGGAAGTCCAGGATCCAGTTGCAGAGGGAGGTGTTTAGTCCCAGGGTCCTTAGCTTAGTGATGAGCTTTGAGGGCACCTGCCAAATGGAGGGTGAGAGAGAGCTTTGTATGCGTCTCTGTGTGTGGAGTAAAGGTGGTCTAGATTTTTTTTTCCTCTGGTTGCACATTTAACATGCTGGTAGAAATTAGATAAAACGGATTTATTTATTTGATTGGACACGTTGCAAGATGAAATCTGAGATCTATCTATAGAGTTTCCAAATGAACAAGCGATACTTAATTACAAGAATAATATGCAACTATTGTCTAATTATAATAATGAAATAATAATAAACGAAAACGTACATTCAAAAGTTGTTCTGCTACAATACAACTAATAAAACGAAGTACCTACAGTGAGGGAAAAAAGTATTTGATCCCCTGCTGATTTTGAACGTTTGCCCACTGACAAAGAAACGATCAGTCTATAATTTTAATGGTAGGTTTATTTGAACAGTGAGAGACAGAATAACATCAAAAAAATCCAGAAAAATGCATGTAAAAAATGTTATAAATTGATTTGCATTTTAATGAGGGAACTAAGTATTTGACCCCCTCTCAATCAGAAAGATTTCTGGCTCCCAGGTGTCTTTTATACAGGTAACGAGCTGAGATTAGGAACACACTCTTAAAGGGAGTGCTCCTAATCTCAGTTTGTTACCTGTATAAAAGACACCTGTCCACAGAAGCAATCAATCAATCAGATTCCAAACTCTCCATCATGGCCAAGACCAAAGAGCTCTCCAAGGATGTCAGAGACAATATTGTAGACTTACACAAGGCCGGAATGGGCTACAAGACCATCGCCAAGCAGCTTGGTGAGAAGGTGACAACAGTTGGCCCGTCTGAAGTTTGCCAATGAACATCTGAATGATTCAGAGGAGAACTGGGTGAAAGTGTTGTGGTCAGATGAGACCAAAATTGAGCTCTTTGGCATCAACTCAACTCGCCGTGTTTGGAGGAGGAGGAATGCTGCCTATGACCCCAAGAACACCATCCCCACCGTCAAACATGGAGGTGGAAACATTATGCTTTGGGGGTGTTTTTCTGCTAAGGGGACAGGACAACTTCACCGCATCAAAGGGACGATGGACGGGGCCATGTACCGTCAAATCTTGGGTGAGAACCTCCTTCCCTCAGCCAGGGCATTGAAAATGGGTCGTGGATGGGTATTTCAGCATGACAATGACCCAAAACACACGGCCAAGGCAACAAAGGAGTGGCTCAAGAAGAAGCACATTAAGGTCCTGGAGTGGCCTAGCCAGTCTCCAGACCTTAATCCCATAGAAAATCTGTGGAGGGAGCTGAAGGTTCGAGTTGCCAAACGTCAGCCTCGAAACCTTAATGACTTGGAGAAGATCTGCAAAGAGGAGTGGGACAAAATCCCTCCTGAGATGTGTGCAAACCTGGTGGCCAACTACAAGAAACGTCTGACCTCTGTGATTGCCAACAACGGTTTTGCCACCAAGTACCAAGTCATGTTTTGTTTAAATACTTATTTCCCTCATTTAAAATGCAAATCAATTTATAACATTTTTGACATGCGTTTTTCTGGATTTTTTTGTTGTTATTCTGTCTCTCACTGTTCAAATAAACCTACCATTAAAATTATAGACTGATCATGTCTTTGTCAGTGGGCAAACGTACAAAATCAGCAGGGGATCAAATACTTTTTTCCATCACTGTATAATATATGCATTCGGAAAGTATTCAGACGCCTTTACTTTTTCCACATTTTGTTACGTTACAGCCTTATTCTAAAATGGATTAAATAAAAATATGTCCTCATCAATCTACACACAATACCCCATAATGAAAAAGCGAAAACAGGTTTTTAGACATTTTTGCAAATGTATTAAAAATAAAAAACAGAAACCTTATTTACATAAGTATTCAGACCCTTTGCTATGAGACTCGAAATTGAGCTCAGGTGCATCCTGTTTCCATTGATCATCCTTGAGATTTTTCCACAACTTGATTGGAGTCCACCTGTGGTAAATTCAATTGTTTGGACATGATTTGAAAAAGGCACACACCTGTTTATATAAGGTCCCACAGTTGACAGTGCATGTCAGAGCAAAAACCAAGCCATGAGGTCGTGAGGAATTGTCCGTAGAGCTCCGAGACAGGATTGTGTCGAGGCACAGAGCTGGGGAAGGGTGCCAAAAAATTTCTGCAGCATTGAAGGTCCCCAAGAACACAGTGGCCTCCATCATTCTTAAATGGAAGAAGTTTGGAACCACCAAGTCTCTTCCTAGAGCTGGCCACCCGGCCAAACTGAGCAGTCGGAAGAGAAGGGCCTTGGTCAGAGAGGTGACCAAGAACCTGATGGTCACTCTGAAAGAGTTCCAGAGTTCCTCTGTGGAGATGGGAGAACCTTCCAGAAGGACAACCATCTCTGCAGCACTCCACCAATCAGGCCTTTATGGTAGATTGGCCAGACGGAATCCACTCCTCAGTAAAAGACCACTCTGACAGAACTACAGAGTTCCTTGGCTGAGATGGGAGAAGGTGCCAGAAGGACAACAGTCTCTACAGCACTTCACCAATCTGGGCATTATGGGAGAGTTGCCAGACGGAACCCACTCCTGAGAAAAAGCACATGACAGCACGTCTGGAGTTTGCAAAAAGGCATGTGAAAGACTTTGAGAGCATAAGGCAAAATATTCTGTGGTCTGATGAGACAAAAATGTACTCTTTGGCCTGAATGCAAAGTGCTCTCTGGAGAAACCAGGCACAGCTCATCACCCGTCTAAAACCATCCCTACCATGAAGCATGTTGGTGGCAGCATCATGCTATGGGGATGCTTTTTAGCGGCAGGGACTAGGAGACTGGTAAGGATAGAGGGAACAATGAATGGACCCAAATACGGACAAATCCTTAATAAGAACCTGCTTCAGAGACTAGGGCAAAGATTTACGTTCCAACAGGATAATGACCCCCAGCATACAGCCAAAGCAATGCTGGAATGACTTAAGAACAACAATGTGAAAGTCATTGAATGGCCCAGCCAATGCCCAGACTTGAATCCCATTGAAAATCTGTGGAAAGACTTGAAGATTGCTGTTCACCGCCACTCCCCATCTAACTTAACAAAGCCTGAGAAAATCTGCAAGGAAGAACGGGAGAAAATCCCAAAATCCAGATGTGCAAAGCTGATACAGACATACCCAAGACGACTCAAAGCCCCAAAGGTGCTTCTACAAAGTATTGACTCGGGTGTGAATGCTTATGTAAATGGGATATTTCTGTATTTAATTTTCAATAAATGTGACAAAAATTCTGAAAACATGTTTTCACTTTGTTATTATGGGGTATTGTGTGTAGATGGGTGAGAACAACATCTATTTAATCAATTTTGAATTCAGGCTGTAACACAACAAAATGTGGAATAAGTTAAGGGGGAATAGCTGTGTGTGTGTGTGTGTGTGTGTGTGTGTGTGTGTGTGTGTGTGTGTGTGTGTGTGTGTGTGTGTGTGTGTGTGTGTGTGCATATGTCTACACTTTGTGTAGCTGTTAGCGATGATGCTAACGATAACCTTCTGGTAGAGATTAAAAGGCTTTCCCAAAAATCTTCTCAATTAAATGTTATCTACAAAGTACCCTGTACCTACCTGGCAGAATGATATCATGATTATTTGCATCAATCTAGTGGCGCACTTGCATTAAAGGGTAACTACACCCAAAAATCAAAATGTATTTTATTTTTCCCAGACGGAGACCACAAAAGTGGTTTAAGCATTGTTGTGGACCAATTTTGTTGTAAAAATTAAATGTTGAGCGCAAAAACCTGTTAAATTTGGGAAAAAACTAAACGGAATCAGGCAAAAATACAACAGATTTTATACAATACCTGACTCTTACCCTGTCTCCGGCCCTAACCTCTGACCCTGCTTGTGATGATGTCACCCCTTAACTCTGTGATGTCATCATTCCCAGACCCACGGCCGCTGTACCGTGAGGAGACCATCGTGATCGCCCTGGCGTCTGTCTCCATAGTAGCGGTGCTGATCGTGGCGCTGTTCTTCGGGTACCGCATGCTGAGTGGAGACAGGAAACAGGGACTACACAACATGGACATGATGGAGGCAGCAGCCTCAGAACCCAGTCTCGACCTGGACAGCCTTAAACTACTAGAGGTGAGCTGTTATAGTTGGAATAAGGTTACAATGGCCTCTAACACCACATTATTGTCTCTTAGAACTGTAGTAACCTTTGTCTCATTCAACAGCTGCTGTGTTGCTTATAGAAGACTGACACTGTCTCTGTCTCTGTCTCCAACCATCTTTCTTTCACCTTCTCCCTGTCCCTCTCCATCTACCCACTCTCTCCATCTCTCTCTCTCTCTCCCTCTCTCTCCCTCTCTCACTACCCCCTCCCAGATGATTGGTCGAGGGCGGTATGGCTCTGTGTATAAGGGTTCTCTAGACGAGCGTCCCGTGGCGGTCAAGGTGTTCACCTACCAGAACCGCCAGAACTTTGTCAATGAGCGAGCCATCTACCGCGTCCCCCTGCTGGAGCACGATAACATCGCACGATTCATCGTTGGAGACGAGAGACTTACAGCCGATGGACGCATGGAGTACCTACTGGTCATGGAGTATTACCCTCTTGTAAGTATACTGGCCTCTACTGGGCTCTACTGGGCTCTAACTGGGGTTCTACTGGGTTCTACTGGGTTCTACTGGGCTCTACTGGGTTCTACTGGGCTCTGCTGGCCTCTACAATGTTCTACTAGGTTCTACAGGGCTCTATTGGGTTCTACTGGGTTCTACTGGGTTCTACTAGGCTCTACTGGGCTCTGCTGGCCTCAACAATGTTCTACTAGGTTCTACAGGGCTCTTGGGTTATACTGGGCTCTCACTGGGTTCTACTGGGCTCTTGCTGGCCTCTACAATGTATCACTAGTTTCTACAGGTGCTCCTCTACGGGTTTACTGGGCTCTGCGGGTCTACAATGTTCTACTAGGTTCTACAGGGCTCTACTGGGTTCTACTGGGCTCTACTGGGTTCTACAGGTGTAAATGGGCTCTGCTGGCCTTATGGGTACTACTAGCTTACTGCGTTCACTGGCTCTATGGGTTCTAAAGGCTTAAGGGTCTACTGGGATCTAGGGTTTACTGGGCTCTATGGCCTATATGGGCTTCGCTGTCCTATACAGGGTATTACTGGCACTAACTGGGTTCTACGGGGCTCTACTGGGTCTGCTGGGCCATTACTGGGTTTACTGGGTTTACTGGGCTTACGGGCTGCTGGGCATTATAGGGTTCTACTGGGCTCTACTGTCCTCTATGGGCTTTACTGGCTCTACGGGTTCTACTGGGGTCTACTGGGCTTCTATGGGTTCTACATGGGCTCTGCTGGCTTGATCAATGTTCTACTAGGTTCTACAGGGCTCTATTGGGTTCTACTGGGTTCTACTGGGTTCTACTAGGCTCTACTGGGCTCTGCGGGCCTCAACAATGTTCTACTAGGTTCTACAGGGCTCTTGGGTTATACTGGGCTCTACTGGGTTCTACTGGGCTCTGCTGGCCTCTACAATGTTCTACTAGGTTCTACAGGGCTCTACTGGGTTCTACTGGGCTCTACTGGGTCTACAGGGTTAAATGGGCTCTGCTGGCCTTACTGGGTTCTACTAGGCTCTACTGCGTTCTACTGGCTCTACTGGGTTCTAATAGGCTTACAGGGCTCTACTGGGATCTACTGGGTTCTACTGGGCTCTACTGGCCTATACTGGGCTTCGCTGTCCTCTACAGGGTTCTACTGGCCTCTACTGGGTTCTACTGGGCTCTACTGGGTTCTGCTGGCCTTACTGGGTTCTACTGGGTTCTACTGGGCTCTACTGGGCTCTGCTGGCCTTATAGGGTTCTACTGGGCTCTACTGTCCTCTACTGGGTTCTACTGGGCTCTACTGGGCTCTGCTGGCCTTATAGGGTTCTACAGGGTTCTACTGTCCTCTACTGGGCTCTGCTGGCCTCTGGTCTCTACTGGGCTCTAATGTCCTCTACTGGGCTCTGCTGGCCTCTGGTCTCTATTGGGTTCTACTGGGCTCTAATGGGTTCTACAGGGTTCTGATGGCTCTACTGGGTTCTACTGAGTTCTACTGGGTTCTACAGGGTTCTGGTGGCTCTACTGGGTTCTACTGAGTTCTACTGGGTTCTACTGGGTTCTACACTTACAAAGGGCAGGGTGGACAACTACTGGTCATGGAATATTACCTTCATGTGAGTCCTGGGGTCTAGCAGAATTTTACTGCAGCAATGAATCATCTGAACCTCTATTCCGCTCCCATCACTCTCTCTGTCAGAAGGTTTCCTGTCTCTGTCTGTCATAGAACTAGAATAGATTCTGTATCGTCTCAGCAGATATTTCTGTTGATGATTGGGGATAGATTTCTATTTACACCAAGTCATCTTGGGTTTCTCCTAATAATTATTGGTGCATAATGCCCGTCTCTCTCTCTCTGTCTCTCTCTCTCTCTCTCTCTCTCTCTCTCTCTCTCTCTCTCTCTCTCTCTCTGTCTCTCTGTCTCTCTGTCTCTCGCTCTCGCTCTCGCTCTCGCTCTCGCTCTCGCTCTCTCTCTTGCTCTCTCTCTCTCGCTCTCTGTCTCTCGCTCCTTCTTCTAGATTAGTAATGTTATTGTAACCCTGCTGTGTTTGAGGGTAACGCCTGTTTCCTTTCTATATCCACTACCTCTGAAGCACACACACAGTCCGATACGCACACTGACGCACGCACGCACACACAGAACACACACAGTCCGATACGCACACTGACGCACGCACGCACACACAGAACACACACAGTCCGATACGCACACTGACGCACGCACGCACACACAGAACACACACAGTCCGATACGCACACTGACGCACGCACGCACACACAGAACACACACAGTCCGATACGCACACTGACGCACGCACGCACACACAGAACACACACAGTCCGATACGCACACACAGAGAACATACACACACATACACATTGTCTGAAATGACTGTTTGTTTTGTTTTCTGTCAACCCACAGCATAGCATTCCTGTCTCTCCATTAGTTAAACATGGAATTACTGGTCTGTCTGTCTCTGTCTGTTTTCCCAGACTAACCGAACCAGCTCAGTGCCAGACACAGCACATTAACTCACACCTCTGCTGCTTCCATCAAATACAGAACTACTGCTTTGTTCTCACCTCCCAAATAGCACCCTATTCCCTATATAGTGCACTACTTTATAGGGCTCTGTTCAGAAGTAGTGCACTATGTTGGGACTAGGGTACCATTTGGGATGCAGTCTGTAGATCTGTAGACTGTAGATCAGTAGACTGTAGATCAGTAGACTGTAGATCAGTAGGTAGACTGTAGATCAGTAGACTGTAGATCAGTAGACTGTAGATCAGTAGACTGTAGATCAGTAGACTGTAGATCAGTAGACTGTAGATCAGTAGACTGTAGATCAGTAGACTGTAGATCAGTAGACTGTAGATCTGTAGACTGTAGATCAGTAGACTGTAGATCAGTAGACTGTAGATCAGTAGACTGTAGATCAGTAGACTGTAGATCAGTAGACTGTAGACTGTAGATCAGTTAGACTGTAGATCAGTAGACTGTAGATCAGTAGACTGTAGATTCAGTAGACTGTAGATCTGTAGACTGTAGATCAGTAGACTGTAGATCAGTAGACTGTAGATCAGTAGACATGTAGATCAGTAGACTGTAGATCTGTAGACTGTAGACTGTAGATCAGTAGACTGTAGATCAGTAGACTGTAGATCAGTAGACTGGTAGATCAGTAGACTGTAGATCAGTAGACTGTAGACTGTAGATCAGTAGACTGTAGATCAGTGACTGTAGACTGTAGATCAGTAGATCAGTAGACTGTAGATCGTAGACTGTAGATCTGTAGATGTCAGTAGATCAGTAGACTGTAGTAGTAGACTGTAGATTAGTAGACTGTAGATCAGTAGACTGTAGATCAGTAGACTGTAGATCAGTAGACTGTAGATCAGTAGATCAGTAGACTGTAGATCTGTAGACTGTAGATCAGTAGACTGTAGATCAGTAGACTGTAGACTGTAGATCTGTAGATCAGTAGATCTGTAGACTGTAGATCAGTAGACTGTAGATCAGTAGACTGTAGACTGTAGATCAGTAGACTGTAGATCAGTAGACTGTAGATCAGTAGACTGTAGATCAGTAGACTGTAGATCAGTAGACTGTAGATCAGTAGACTGTAGATCAGTAGACTGTAGATCAGTAGACTGTAGACTGTAGATCAGTAGATCTGTAGACTGTAGATCTGTAGATCAGTAGACTGTAGATCAGTAGACTGTAGATCTGTAGATCAGTAGACTGTAGATCAGTAGACTGTAGATCTGTAAACAGTAGATCTGTAGACTGTAGACTTTAGATCAGTAGACTGTAGATCAGTAGATCTGTAGATCAGTAGATCTGTAGACTGTAGATCAGTAGACTGTAGATCTGTAGACTGTAGATCTGTAGACTGTAGATCTGTAGACTGTAGATCAGTAGACTGTAGATCAGTAGATCAGTAGATCAGTAGATCAGTAGACTGTAGATCTGTAGACTGTAGATCTGTAGACTGTAGATCAGTAGACTGTAGATCAGTAGACTGTAGATCAGTAGACTGTAGACTGTAGATCAGTAGACTGTAGATCAGTAGACTGTAGATCAGTAGACTGTAGATCAGTAGACTGTAGATCAGTAGACTGTAGATCAGTAGACTGTAGATCAGTAGACTGTAGATCAGTAAACTGTAGATCAGTAGACTGTAGATCAGTAGACTGTAGACTGTAGATCAGTAGACTGTAGATCAGTAGACTGTAGATCAGTAGACTGTAGATCAGTAGACTGTAGATCAGTAGATCTGTAGACTGTAGATCAGTAGACTGTAGATCAGTAGACTGTAGATCAGTAGACTGTAGATCTGTAGACTGTAGATCTGTAGACTGTAGATCAGTAGACTGTAGATCAGTAGACTGTAGATCTGTAGACTGTAGATCTGTAGATCAGTAGACTGTAGATCAGTAGACTGTAGATCAGTAGACTGTAGATCTGTAGACTGTAGATCAGTAGATCAGTAGACTGTAGATCTGTAGACTGTAGATCTGTAGACTGTAGATCTGTAGACTGTAGATCAGTAGACTGTAGATCAGTAGACTGTAGATCTGTAGACTGTAGATCTGTAGATCAGTAGACTGTAGATCAGTAGACTGTAGATCTGTAGACTGTAGATCAGTAGATCAGTAGACTGTAGACTGTAGATCTGTAGACTGTAGATCAGTAGACTGTAGATCAGTAGACTGTAGATCAGTAGATCAGTAGACTGTAGATCAGTAGACTGTAGATCAGTAGACTGTAGATCAGTAGATCTGTAGATCAGTAGACTGTAGATCAGTAGACTGTAGATCTGTAGACTGTAGATCAGTAGACTGTAGATCAGTAGACTGTAGATCAGTAGATCAGTAGACTGTAGATCAGTAGATCTGTAGACTGTAGATCAGTAGACTGTAGATCAGTAGACTGTAGATCCGTAGATCAGTAGACTGTAGATCAGTAGACTGTAGATCTGTAG